GATCAAGCCAATTACATATTAAGAGATAGCGGCACCAGTAATGGATCTTATAGAAGACTTTTATTCTAATAAGACTCTTCTGGGATTGATTAGGTTTGTTACATCTAGACTTGGTGTACACCCCCATACCCACAAAAACTAAAATATCCTTAAGATTTTCTTGATTCTTATAAACAACCAAATTTAGATAAAAAAATTCCATTCATTTGAGTGGCTTTTTTAGGGTACGTTCGATTCGACTTTGAGATAATGTCTTTGAAAAATTCCAGAGGCCTTTGGGTTAAAGGAGTTTTCCAAATATAAGTAGTGTTTGGTAAAGTATATTTAAAAAACACATTGGAAATCAACTTTGACCTAAATGCCGTTTGGTAAAGATTACACTTCGTAAAGGATTTTTGGTAATTTAAAAAAAAAATCTCAAACTAGTTGCCCACCGAACTCAACCACCGCCGACGAGCCCAATCGGTTGAGGTCACTTGACCTCAAACTATATGCATACTCATACCGCTTGCCTCGGCTCTATAAAATGAATTAATCCAACGTATTTCAAACCAAAACGCTGCATACAACCTAACAAAAGTGAGATTTGAACATATAAAATCACAAGATATGAGCAAAAAATTGATCTTGTTTAGTTAGTGAAAGAGTATATGGAGAAATTCATATATACAAAAGATCTAAAATGAACTACAATAGTTATATTTTTACACATACGATGACAAATAAATTAGGAAGCAAATTATACAAATTGCAAACCCTTAAATATTTGTAGCATCTTCCCTTAAACTCAAGGTGGTAATGAATCACAAAGTTTGAGGTTGAAAACGCACGAAGGACGGGCTAGTCTAATGATAATTGCAATTTGATAGAGAATTGATAGATACCATTTAACGGGAAAGTTACCAAAAGGAGTTTTAAACCTATTGTATGGATGCCGATTCAGTCCTAAACCTTTTCAATTTAATCCTAAACCTTTAAAACGATTTATTAATGCTAATAAAGTCCTTCCGGCCAATTTTGACAAACCGTCAAAAGGTTTAAATGTGCATTTTCAGCTTTTCTAAGGGGCTTTTGGCCTCCAAAGCTCCTTTGGGAAACGCTAGGGTATTTGGCAAGTCTTCTCATGAGGCTTACGGCCAAATGCTGGCTTTGGGAAAACTGAAACTAGTTTTTTTCTTTCAAAACTACCATCACTAATTCTTTAATTTTCCAATTTTGCCCTCCGTTGTTACTGTTCATCTTCTTTGTGCGAGGGCGGCCGGTAAAGTCTGAGGAGATCGCACAACCCTGGGTGAGGGTTGTACAACTTCAGGCAACGGCCGCCGGCGCTAGATTTGGCTCGTCGGCGAGCCGGCGAAGGGTTTGATTTTTTTTGATAAAAAAAGAAAAATTAAACCCAAAATCCTTTTGCAAAAAAAAAATTGCCAAACACTACCTAAGCCAAAGTAACTTTACAAAGGAGTTTTTACCAAACATAGTTTGTATTTTCCCAAAGGACTTTAGTCCAAAGACATTTGCATTCCCCAAGGCCTATTTGCAAAGCCGAACCAAATCCAGCCTAAAACTAAATTGGCCAAATTGAAAGGTTTAGAACCGAATTGATATCAGTATAATATGTTTAAGACTGTATAGTAATTATCCCCCCAATTACTAGTTAACCGGTAGATACTAGTGGTATAAGATCTCCGAATGGTGTTGCCGCACAAAAGTAAGAGTCTATCTCAATCTCCATATGTTCGGTTCACTCCCATATCTTAAGGCGAGCAACATTTTCATAAAATGATCATTTGAATCTGTAAAAACACGATGAGTCAATGAGAAATGATCACTTGTATCGCCGATCGTTTTCATAAAACTACCAAGAACATTTTTATTTGGCATGTCGTTTTCATAAAACGATCACTTGTATCACTCAAAACGATCAGCCAATGATAAATGTTTTCACATGTCGAAACATTTGGGTCGATAATGATATTATCTTTTGCGCGTTCAATTTTTTTAAGTGATACAAAAGACCATTTTGAAGAAAAATGTTTTTCTAAATTATTCATTTTTTGCAAGATAAATAGAGCCTCAGTAATAAAATGACGGTAGGGGGATCACTCGCCCGCTCAGACATCGGAAGATACTTACCAAATGGTAGGGGTGTCAAAAGTACCCGCTCAAACATGACCCGACCCGAACCGACCCGATCCAAACAGGAAATTTTCATATTGGGTCGGGTTGGCCTTAACTTGTTTGGGTAACAGTAAAAACAAGACTTAAACTTGTTTTGGATCTACCCGAACCCGCCCGGAACAAGGCCACCCGAAACAAACAAGATCCATTTGTTCTTCTTGTTCCAAGCGCGCCGGAAAGGCAACCACCGTTCATTCGTGCCCGTCCAAGTCCAACGAACTCGGTCCTCCTCCTCCTCGCTCGCCTCGCACTCCGACCTTCGATTCGGTGCGCGGTTCTCGAGCTCCGCGCACCTGTCGATCCGAGCCGTCGGTGAAATCGCCTCGCCGGCACCGCCGCCATGGGCTTCTCCTCTTCGCTTGGGTAAATCCCTCCATCCGCCGTTCGTGTTGTCCGCGACTTTTTTCGTTGCCGCCGAGCTGAATTTGAGCTTGAGCTAATCTCGGTCGCCGCGCATTCCTCCGGTTGTGCCGCATGCCGTTGGTTGTCTCGGGAGGTTGTCCCATGTTTTTTGGAGTCGCGTCTGTCCCGCTTTGTATTTTGGAAGTAGTCGAGTGTGTAGATCGTGGCTAGGGCTTGGCAAATTTCGATGGGCGAAATTGATTGCCCGATGGCTGCGAGATTGTGAAGTTGCCGGGGACTTTGAGTATCATTCGCGATTTGATGAATGCCTCGGTTAGTGAATCGGCTCTGTGATTGATTGGCTCGACATTCGGGTTATTGCGGATAGGGCCGGAAGATTGAGCGGGCTCAATGCGAGAACGGTTGAGTGAATGATGCAAAGAAACCGCGTGTTAAGGTACGCTTGCTACATACGATCGTTTCTTTCTTTTTGTTCGGTCATTATGCTTGTATGAAATCTTATATCTAGGTGGCACTTGCGTGATCAAGGTGGCGACATTGATTGCTTAGAAATCTTCGCTTAGTAGGATGATGGTGTCTTGATATGCAACATACTCATAGTCATTGCTGCTTCATATAGCTTTGGCATCTGAACATCTTGTCTAGTGTTCATTTTATTTGCATCGTATTTTAGCATTTTCTATCCGATCCGGTAGGAGCCAGGGACTTTGAGCTTTGCAAGATTCTACAACAGTTAAGTTTGAAATATGGGACACTGCTGGTCAAGAGAGGTATTAAATTGTGCTATATTTGTTTTCTTTAATATTTTCATATTTTAAAAAGTGGGGTGACGGAAACTTCCTTCAACCCTTTATCTATCACAAACACAGAGAAGGATTTCTTGATTTTCCTTATACAGGTATGTCGCCCGGCCCCACTTTACTATCGGGTGCTGCGGTTGCGGTAGTGGTTTATGATATAACAAGCCCGAATCGTTTCAAAAGCTCGATCTTGGGTAAAGGTAGGCGCTCGGGGATTACAAGCAGTTATATTTTAATGCATACTTTTCGTATACCTCTTTCTTTATAGTGAATTTTGGTGGAAGTTGTTGGAGATTGATCCACAAAAACCTTGCAGGCATGACTAAACACTGACTGGGTTTTAAAGTGAATAGCAAGTACCACCTTTATTTTTTTGACAGAATGATGTATGGTATGAAAAGAAAGCAGGATTTCATATTCTCTGTGGTGAAAGCTGGTGTTAAAATGGGTTGTTAACTGTGTAAATAGGAATTTCTCGTGCCGTCATCATCTACTTCGTACTTCTTTGTTTGAACAGGCGAACAAGACAACCCAAGTTCTTTTGGGGTGTCCTTCTTAAGAGAAGATGTAGGTGGTCAAGAACTATATCATGTTCGGATCGGATCTTGTTTCGGATCGGGCCAAGCAAACATATGCATTGTTTCGGATCGGGTCGGGTATCATGAAAACCCGACCCGACCCGTTGACACCCCTACCAAATGGTAACATGCCCCCACCTTTTCTATCCTCGTAAAATGGCCATAAAATCAACACTGCCTGTGTATGTATATATAGATAAACAAATTTCGACAAAAAAAAAATATATATATATTTATAGATCAACAGATAAAAAATTTAATAAAAAAAAACGTGTAGAGACTTTTTCTCCTGGGCTACGCTGGAGAATGAAATCCAATTAAAATAACGCCCGTCTAAGCAAGGCAAGCCCGACAACTGGCCGGTGCCACGTCACCGGATCTTTGCCTTAACACGAGGAGGTCTCGGTGTCTGCCTCGGCCCCACGCGCTCCCGCATGCCCACACACTCAAATTTCGCCCTTTTTTTTTTTTTCTCTTTTTCTTTTCTATTTTCCCCCCAATTGTCTTTATTTTTTGGGCTAATACTAAAAAAAACCCAAACTAATACGTTGCGTCACATTTACCAAAAACTATACACGTACCACATTTATCCCAAACTAATTTTTGTATCATAAAAATCTCCAAACTGGTATATTTGTGCTACGCTTACCTCAAACTGGTACACCCGTGCAACATTTACCCAAAATTATGGTAAATTTGGGAACTTTTCGAGTCAGCGTGGCACGAGTGCATCAATTTGGGATAAATATTGATCTTGAAATAAAAATTAGTTTAGAATAAATGCGGCACGGATATATCAGTTTAGGCTAAATATGATACGGACGTAACTATGATACGAGTGTACTGATTTGAGGTTTTTGGTGATATTAAATCTTACTTTTTTTTATTTACTTTTTAATTTGATCGTGAAATTCATAATTCGGTCGCGCAAAAAGTCTGGACAGAGAAAAAGGGGAAAAAAAAGGAAAAAAAAGGAGAAGAAATCTCGACACGGTCTGCCCCTGCAACGGCAATAATTCACTTTTTATTTTCCAGCTAGTTCTCTCCCATCTTCATCTTCTCTGTCCATCCCTCCCCCTTCCTGGCCCCCTCTCTCTCTCTCTCCTCCTCCTCCTCCTCCTCCTCCACCATTGCCAGCTCCCTCTCTCTCATCATCGTCGTCGTCGTCGCCGTCGCCGTGATCATCGTCGTCCGGGGAGATCCGCCAGGTACGTCCGGCATCCGCGATCGATCCCCTTCGCCTTTTGTTGCGTTCCGATCAGCTTTCGGGAGCGTTTTTGCAGTCGATGGGATTGGATCTTCGCCGGCCGGTTGATCCTTCGCTCGCTTCGTGATCTCCCCGGTGCCTTGGCGATTCTGTGTTAGTGTCGCGTGGTTGCTGATTGCTCTCTCTCTCTCTCTCTCTCGTTTTGAGTGTGTTCGGTTTTTGGTCTTGGTCGGTCGAGGTGGCGATCTGATCCTCGTGCCTCCTCGTGCGCTTCGCGTGCATGTGCCGCCGGGAGAATGCCGCCGTGTCCTCGGACGGATTGCGTGAACTGCGATCACGTGACGGTTCGGGTTCGTGTTCGTGGATTGGTTGTGATGTCGTCTTCTTTTCGTCGCCCGATCGGACTGATTTGATCGGGGTCGTTAATTGCGGAACTAGCGTTAGTTTCCTGCTTGAATAAGAGCTTCCGCCTGCTCGGCTCGCGGCTATAGTCATTCACCGGTATCAGTGAATGCATCCGGAATTGTCTCTATTTCATCGGGTTGGTTTTCATGGCGGTGTGCTGAAGAGCTCGGCTTGTCTTGCCCGCCTTGCTTTCGACAATAGTGGACAAGTAACTGCTAATTGAGTTTTAGGATGATTGATTCTAATACATTTCGAAACCGCCCTGGGAGGGAATGTGTGTGGTGAGCTGGGTGCAGTTGTGAGGCGAGAGACTCGGTGACTTTGATGGACAAAGAATGGTTGGGCCAAAAGTTTGAAATGCTACATTTTTTTAATTGATTATGTGTGTTTAGCCGTACAAATTTAGAAAATGGAAATATTGCCAGTCTGGAGAAACGATGGCTGTTTAGATGAAATGACGAACCGCATGCTCTCCAAGAAGAGCTTCTATAGTCGAATAGTTCTTAGGTGTTATATTAGTGACAAGATGATACTCTTCTGATGGCCAAATGTTTGTCAGTTGAAGCTTATGCCAGCGAACATGATTCTCATATCAGGAATTAATCTGGCCATTGAATGAGGAATTGTGGAACTCTTGACGTGCTCAGTCTCTCTGTATTTGGACCAGTACCTGCATAACATCCCTAAAGGGAAAGCCTTAATAGGAATCAGAATAAAAATGTTCATGCTAAAGTTCCTGTTTTGAGAAGACCGATGCCATCGAGATGAAGAGCAAGGTTAATTAGATCCTACAGATAGATGTACATAAGTATGTCATTATTTTTCTGGACACGTCCCGTGACATGTAAGTGAACTTTGGTGAAAGAATTAGTTTGATAAATTTGGGGAATGAAAGCCAAAAAAAGAAAGGCAGTAGCTTTGGAGAATCCAATTAGACATAGACATTCATCCTGTCAGAAGGTAACCGCCAAAATATATGTCTAGGAGGAGAGAAGGAATTGCGGTTGTGAATTAAATTTGTTACCTAGACTGGCTATTGTGTTTAGTTGTTATTAGGACTTTTGCATGTTTATGCTCGATCTCGCTGTGGGGGGTTTGTAATTTGGGTGTACTGGTTTGGAGTTTGGAAATGCTCTATGTTCTTGTGTACTCATATTAGTGATAATGAATATCTCATCTTCTTCAGTGCATCTTTACTCTTCTATGATAGTGTTCATTTTTCATAGCTTTTGATTGAAGCGGTTGTTAACATTGGAAATTGGAACTTCTAAAGCTCGCATTAGAATTGATCTTAGAAGGCAGTCATTGAAGTTAAAAGCAACATAAATACTAAAATTACCGAAGAGGTTCGAGAAAGACTGCAGGTGGAGAAATACCACATGAGTCATTCACGTCCAATGCCGAAAAAACACACTCTTTATTGCATCCTATTGAAGCACAAGCATCAGTAGCATAGATCATTTATCATTGAGAACTATGCTTGAGATACATTGTCAACATGTTACTTGACAATTTAAGCTCAAGGTTTTAGGAGCAACTGTTCTTCAATGTGATATCGGAGCTTCAAGTTAAGGGTTCAATCTTTGATTCTCCTATTGTTGCCATTTTGTCTATTACTCATGTTTTCCTTCCGATTGTTGTTTGATGTAGTTAAGTCCACATCCTATGTTTTACATGTAAGGTCCAACTCACATGCGAAGGGGGTTGATTAACATTTATGTTTGATATACATTGTTGGCATTTTTGCTAGCAGCTTTAGTTTAAGTATTGGGGATAACAGTTGTTCAACATTTATCAAACACTTTCCAGGGGCATTCTCTTTTTGCTTGTTTTGTGGGGTAGGTCGACAGTTCAAATTGAGATATTGATTCATTGGAGGTTTGTTCCAATATGGATATTTAATGATAATTAACATATGTATTCCTACAAATGTATAGGTTTGGTATAGCGAACCTTATATATACATGTGTACGTGTATATAGTCTTTTGAAGTGAAAAAATGCGAGAAAAAAGTTGTGATTATGCTTTAGCTTATCTACTTGATAAGGTTAGTGGGTGATGCAGTTATTTGATGTAGGTGGAGTGGGTTACTCATATTCTTACACAGGCTTGACTGGCTAGAATTTGTGAAGCTCTCAAATGGGATAACAACACCTAGGATCCATTAAGTTTGATCGCTTTTGCAGTTTGGTCCTTGATCTTTTAAAACTGAGGTTTTTATTCCTTGAACGTCTTTTTGAGCAGTTTTGGTCCCTGACCATCTTTTGCATGGAATCTAGATCACAATTGTTGAACGTGATCTAGTTGAGTCACACATAATTACATATACAACAAAGAAAATCCATAAATGACCAAGAAGAGCCTTGGAAGTTTAAGCGTGTGATAGAATCAAGACCCAACCTCAAAGCAAATGACAGTCAGAGATCATAATATTTACTGTTTCGTTTTAGATTGCATTTTTTAGCAGATTCTTTACAAGATCATTTTCTGCTTATGCAGTGGACTCTTGCTGAATTATTAGACTCCATAATCTGGCACTTGAAGGATATCTGCCATCCAGAAGAAAGTAAGAACATAAATTTCCGGTGATGTCTAGCACTGCAAAGGTTTTGGATCCTGCGTTTCAGGGTGCCGGTCAGAGGATGTATCCTGGATATAAGAAATAACTTGCTATTGATTTGCGGCATTACCTATCTTTGGATTTCTTAATTAACTTTCAATTCCCTAGTTTGTGGATGTTTGCGAATGAATACCTAGAAGAAAGATAATGCATTTGTATTATATAAAGTGTTAGTCTCCATGCTGCTACATTTAATCTTAAGCATGTTTGAGCTTAACAGCTTGTAGTGGGACTGAAATTTGGCGTATCGAGGATTTTCAGCCAGTTCCACTGCCTAAATCAGAACATGGGAAATTCTACATGGGCGATTCCTACATTGTATTACAGGTGAAAATAGTTCTTATTCCTCTATATAACAGTAAACCTGCAAGGCAAGTACTTTTGTTAAATTATGTAATAAAGATATTGCAGAAGATCATCAGTTTTTCTTTATTTGCAATACCTAAGTATTTGGTAGTTAAAAATTAACCCTTTAGATTTTTGGTTTTAATTTAAAGCCTCTTTGTTGTTATTTATGCTTTCGGATCATCATTACATGTACGGGCAATTGCATTTTATAGTATGATGAGCACGACTGATCATGCTGCTTGAACTGTTGGTTTATCATCTGCTGTAAATTTGAGAAATGCTATATTAACTTCATTTCACAATTTTCGAGATATTACTGGACTTAATTTGGATGTCTGAGGCATTGTTCTTTTCTTGAATGGAACACCACTGACAGGATCTACAATTACCATCCTTGTATAACCAAATGTTGTATCGACTTGTTATGGTGTTTCGTCTTATAGTGATAAAAAGGATATTCAGAGTTGACATGTTTAGGGTGTACTATTGTAAAAAATTTACCGCCTCTATATAGTCAAATTAAAATCAATGGAGTTTATGATTAATTATTGAGAGTTAAATGCTAAATAAACTATATAAAACATATATAGTAATGGTGTCAAAGAGCAATGTATAAAGATAAAAAATAGAGTTTTTTCTATCAATATAAAGTGTGTGAAATACAAGGCTGTCTGTCCTCTATAGTTTATGTTTATAATGTTTATCTCCGCTGATTAATATTCAATTAAACTTCTGTAGACAACGCCTGGCAAGGGAGGTGCTTATTTGTATGACATACACTTTTGGATTGGAAAAGACACAAGTCAGGTATTCTTTAATGTATTTGTTCTATTTTTGAGATATTGGAGTTGCTTTGCCTATGATTTAAGTCATGGCATGGTCTCACCCCAATATATGCCTTTTCATAGGATGAAGCTGGAACAGCAGCAATTAAGACTGTTGAACTTGATGCTGCCCTTGGAGGACGCGCTGTACAGCACAGGGAACTTCAAAGCCATGAATCTGACAAATTCTTATCCTACTTCAAACCTTGTATAATACCGTTGGAAGGCGGTGTAGCATCTGGATTCAAAAAACCCGAGGAAGAGGAGTTTGAGACGCGTTTATATGTCTGTCGAGGAAAAAGAGTTGTTAGGTTGAAGCAGGTGCTGGAGATTTCTGCTTTGAGCGTTCTTGTTTGATCCTTGTGTTCCTTGGCATGTCAGTCTTCTGCTAGGCACGTGACACAAATTTTCTTTTTAACTCTTGCAGGTCCCTTTTGCTCGGTCTTCATTAAATCATGATGATGTATTTATCCTAGACACTCAGCAGAAAATCTATCAGTTCAATGGTGCAAATTCAAATATCCAGGAAAGGGCCAAGGCTTTGGAGGTCATTCAGTTTTTGAAGGAGAAGTATCATGAAGGAAAGTGTGATGTTGCAATTGTTGGTAGGCTCTTGCCTCAGCTTTAATGTTTTGCATATATAATTGGTATCACTTACTCCTTTTAAATCGTTTATGCTGCTAGCTCTGCTTATTCATGCATATGTGGCTGTTCATGCCAGATGATGGGAAGTTAGATACTGAATCAGACTCGGGTGAGTTCTGGGTCCTCCTTGGTGGTTTTGCTCCCATTGGCAAGAAAGTTTTAAGTGAGGATGATGCAATTCCAGAAGCAACTCCTGCCAAGCTCTATAGGTACCATTACTTTCTAGGAGGTTGGGTTTCTACTTTTTTAAACTAATGGAGGAGTGCCAGTGCTTCTGGTCTGCAGTGTGCATCTTGTACATATGAAATTTGGTAGCTTCTGTTATGTTCTGATCAAATAACAACTTTGGCCCGGAAAGAAGAGCTTTCTTTTTTTAATGAAGCGTAATTAGCGCACATGACACTTAAAGATGGGAAAAGAGGGCAAAGAGAATTGCATGCTTACTCCTAGAAGACTTCTTAGAAGGAAACATACATATTACTCTACCAAAAGTTTGCCAGCAGCTTGAGACATGCTTATTTTTTTATTGGGCCTTGAAGTATTTTTAGTCGTTTTCTCATAATATGAACAATAAATATTTATCCTTACCAACCCACCCATGGGTAGCTTAGTTGGTTAGGGCGTACTTGGGATTGTGTGGTTAGGCGCACTAGTCTCAGGTTTGATTCCCGTGAGCACTTATGATTTAAGTGGGGGCCATGGCGGTGGGTTCTTTGTGCTAGTCTCCCGAGGAATAGTCGACGTGCGCGCAAGCTGGCCCGGACACCTCGGTTACCAAAAAATATATATATATATTTATCCTTACCAAAAAAAAAAAACAATAAATATTTATGAAAGAGGAATATGTGTATATGGAGAATTACATGAATATTCCGAAAGATTAGTCAACATTGAAAAAATGGACTTGACTTGTATATAGCTTTCCCATATCATGTAATGTTGCTATTGTCATGGCAATAAATAGTATAGAAACTATGTTGAGTTCTTGGAATGCATGTAATGACTGCTAGCTGAGAGAATTGCTTTGGCAAGCATGTCGACCTGACTCTTAATTTTCATATTTTTCCTTATAAATTTTAATATTTAAATATGTAGAGGTACTCCGAAGATATGACCCTATAATGCCTAGAACAGTTGGTAGTGGTTATTTGCTTATGTCTGTCCTTATTCTTTTCACATTTGCCATCTCCTGTGAATTCTAGTTCTTCTGGGGCTTATACAGTCTTTCTCTAGTGGTAAATTTCTTTCATTTATTAAGCTATAAGATAAACATAGCATACCGTTACTGCTATTAATGGGGTGTTCAAGAACATTGGCCTTTATCTGTTCTATGTGTTTATTCAAGTTGCTTCTCTTTGTAGCATTGTTGATGGTCAGCTGAAGCTTGTGGAAGGTGAATTATCCAAGGGCATGTTAGAAAACAACACGTGTTACTTCCTGGATTGTGGCGCTGAGGTCTTTGTTTGGGTTGGCCGAGTTACACAAGTGGATGAAAGAAAAGCGGCCATCCAAGCAGCTGAGGTAGAGTGTAGAGGTTCATCTTTCTATGTCATAACTGAATAAATTATGTCTAAAAATCAACTTGTCTGCAGGACTTTATCAGTAGTGAGAACAGACCAAAATCAACACGCATAACCAGAGTTATTCAGGGGTACGAGACTCATGCATTTAAATCCAAATTTGACACTTGGCCATCTGGTTCTGCAACTCCTGCTTCTGAGGAAGGGAGAGGAAAAGTAGCAGGTGACGTTTCACATTCCCATTTGTACTCTGAATAGGTGGAGTTTTTCACTTAGCATTATCACTATTGATCATTGGTTTGTACTTTTTGCCAGCTTTACTTAAGCAACAAGGAATGGGTGTAAAGGGAATGGCAAAAGGTCCTTCTGTGAACGAAGAAGTCCCACCTTTACTGGAAGGAGGTGGAAAATTGGAGGTCTAGTTTTTATATCCATCTCGTATGTCCTCTTTTAAGGAAAACTGCAACTCTATTTCTCAGAGTACCGATTTAAATTGGATTTTAGGTGTGGCGCATTAATGGCAGTGCCAAGACTCCGTTGTCCAAAGAGGATATTGGTAAGTTTTATAGTGGAGATTGCTACGTCATTCTTTACACCTACCACTCTGGTGAAAGGAAAGAAGATTATCTGCTGAGCTGCTGGATTGGAAAGGATAGCATTGGGGTAAATTATCTCTTAATTGCAGGATGTGTTTAAATGATTGCAGAATGACTTTGTTGTATATTAGCTAATTTGAATTCAGGTTAAAGCTAGATATTGTATAGCATAGGAGGGCAGTTGAATTGCTTATTTAAAAGGGCTCATGTCTATGAAATAATTTTACCAATTCTTAGGAGACGCAGACTATTGCCACAGATGCGTTCTTGTTTATAAAGCATGCCCTCATGGCCAAAAAAATGTATCTACGGATCTTGCCCTTAGTTTGTCATAGAAATGATGTTAGAGGAAGAGAAAGGAGAAAATGAGGAAATGGATGGCCGACAGAGTTCAAAATCCTGTAGTTTCTCTTCCAGACCTAGAGTAGATAAACATCTGTTTATGATTAGCCAATGTTAGAGAAAGTGGGCTGGACTGGCTGATTCAACAGGTTGGACCCGGAATCAGTCTGTTGTCTGGTTTGGTCAGCCCTCTGAAACTGGGCTGGTCTAAAACTGGATTGGATTGGTCTGGTCTTGATCACAGTTGAACCACATAAAACATTGGACTGCTCCATCACACTTAGAAAATGCGTGAGACATGTGCAGTTTGTTTTGAATCTGGCTCTTTCAGGCACCAGCATGCATGCAACACCATTCCACCACAATGCTTCATTTGTCATTATTGTCCAAACTATATATATTAAAAGTGCTAGAAGCTTTGGCTCTAAACAAAGCAATGAGACACCAGGCCAAGTAATCCACCCTAGACTTCACATGCATGTAAATAGAGTTTAGTCACTACTGCCGTTAGTGTAGATGCAATGTTCATTGAAAAATAAGATACAAGCCTGGTGAGATTGCGATCTGAACGTGGAATTCTCAATTATGACAAAATGATAAAACACCAAGCCAAAATTTTCATTATACGAGGTAATATCAGTAACCATACTTAACATAATCTGAACAGGGGTTCCATCGATTGAACTGGTGGAACCACGAACCTGTCAGTTAGCTGGTTTATTAACTGGTTCGGCCATTAAAGCACTGTGATTACCAGATTAAAATAGAAGAGACTTACAACTTCAATATATTCTTCATTTCAGGAAGAACAAAAGATGGCTGCTCGGTTGGCTAACACAATTTTCAACTCACTGAAGGGGAGACCTGTTCAGGTATGGTTTTTTGGGTCTCCTCCAGTTGGGTAATGGAGTTGACATATCACATGCTTTTTAATCGATTTTCCTTATAGGGTCGTATTTTTCAAGGGAAAGAGCCAGCGCAATTCATTGCACTTTTTCAGCCTATGGTGATCCTCAAGGTATCTTCTGTGCTTCTTCAAGATGATGCAATGGTTCAAAATGCAGCACGATTGGAATATGTGGTTTGGATTATGAGGCTCATTTGCTATCTGAAATCTTCCTTAGGGAGGTTTAAGCTCAGGTTACAAGAAGTTAATAGCCGAAAAAGGTTTAACGGATGATACGTACACGCAAGAATCTGTGGCACTTATACGTATATCCGGGACTTCCATTCACAACAATAAGGCAGTCCAAGTAGATGCGGTATGTGCTATTGAGTTTCATCTTGTTTTGCTGACTACTAATATATAAGTGGCTTGCTATTAACTTTTGCCGCCGGATGGATATCTGACGCTTAGTCTATTTTTGAACATGTGCCTTTAACTTTTGTGGAACTAACATGCCTGAATCAATTGGAAAAATATGGAGCAATTGTTCATGGTTAGACGAGTATTTGTTGTTCCTTTTCTGTTGTTAGTATGCCATTTAGATTTTCTGAATACTTCTCTCATAGTTTTGATAGGTTCCACAACTTGTTTGAGCTGTGATTAGTGATAGTTTGATCAGTACGGAACTTAAACATATGTTTGTTTTCTCTTTAAGTCAAGATTTTCAGAAGTCAACAGTGTATTAGCAAATGAGAGGATCCCATACCCGTATGCTTCTTAATTGTAAATAACAGAGATCATCTCCATATTTTTGCATGAAGAATGTTGCCCAAGCATGCATTGTTGAATCTTCACCGTAAAATAGTTCAATTCATTATTGGTTGTTAGCCAATGAGCTGATTGTTAGTTAGACGGTTGTCCCCGTCATTGTTGTTGTTTTGCATAGTTAGCCATTTGAACAATGAGGTGTGCTGTCATTTGTATCTTTTGATGATAGGAGAGGGTTGAAAACTTTGACATTCATAATGAAAACTGTAAACATAGAGCATAATACTCTTAAGAGTAATCCATTTACACATTTCTGATCCTTAAACTAGAACAAGATCGAGTTTCAGGTCCTGACATAGCTTGTCGAGAGAAAATTCAGAGAGGGATGAAAAGTTTATTTAGAGATTATTGAATGTGGAAACGGGGGGGGGTACATACATGCAAAGCAATGCCCATGTCAAAGATTTAATGAACCAAAACAATTGAAAGGGATTATTGTCCCACAAAATGCTAGGGAGCTTGTGTCAGCTATCTTATCATTTGGACTTTGTCTTTGTTCAATTGGGTATGTGACAAAGTTCAATCACGGTAATTGCTTCTCAAGTGAGAACAACATAAGAACTGATTGTATATATGGTTTATTTAATGTCCCAATTGCGCCTCCAAGTTTGGGCTGTCAACATTTGCCCTGCGTCATCTTGTTCTTGTTTTTGTACAAAATCTTATTGTCATTCTACTTCCTTCAATTTTCGTTTATCGATTCATTGTGTAGGTGCTTCTATCGACTTATTGACCGCTAAGTTCTGTTGAGATGACTGTGGACGTATTTGTCACAAAAGAAGTAGATTTTGAACATAGCTGATTGTAAATTGACTATTAGTTGATTATGCATACTTAAGAAGAGACTGTTATTGACATCGGGCAGCACATACAGTTTGTCGCGGAAATTCTCTGGGAAGAATATTGGTAAAAATATGAGAATAGTATACTCTTGAGAATATTTCAGAAATCGCTAAGTCATGGGTGACCTGTATCTGGAATGGATGTTCCATATTGTGGATAGCTGGCAATCTAGAATGCCAAATCAGGTGCTCCAAGTGATCAATAAAAATCAAGTCAGAATGAAAGAAATTTGACACGCCATTAAATTCATTATGTTTAATTAAGCCTATTGACTTACCAAATATTAATTGCTTAAAACCATTTTTCTGATATGAAAATATGCGGAAGTTTTTTCAGTCTATTAAACCTGTGAAATGGCTGAAGCATGTGCGGAATGCGATTATCTTGGGTCTTGCAGTTGAAAATGCAGAGATGTAGCAATTAATTTCATGTAAAGAAAATAAAAAAAAATAGAATTGTGCATGTGGTCAACGACAGAGTTCTGTTTATAAGAAACACGGTGGCATTGTTATTACCTCTGATGACAGCTTTTCTCGAGTATATCCTTAATAATCAGTAGCCATGTTAAAGATGATGCAAAAGTGGCACCTATACTAAATAATCCTCCCTTGGCGTACATGGCCAGATGGGAGAAGAGTCCCATCTAAAAAAGATATCATTTGGAGACTTCCTCCTCTAGAAAGGAAGTCCCTCTATTCTTATTGAGTAAATTGCTTGGTAAGTCCTAATCTCCTGGACTGCAAAGTGCTGTCTCAGTTGAAAGTAGGTTGCAAAAATCTCTAGGGTATGGGATACACCAATAGCAAACTATGAACAGATGATGAGTAGCCCGATTTACTCTATTCTGGGGAGCAAAGGAATTGTTAGCTTAGAAAATGGCTTTTGCATACTTCACTAAGGGTCCAGGCATAGGCCTTTTGTTTAGGTGCCTACAGCCTTTCAAGTCAATTTAGCAATAACAGAAGAATACCAGTCAACAGGAGGCCACTGCTACTTTCTCAGCATAACAAAATAGGAGGCTGATAACCGAAGAGTTAAGTTACATGATATTGCAGGAGCAGTTCTTGTGTTGTCTAACTGTTACTTAATCTCTTTCATTCCTGCCTACATAATTAGTAGTTAGCTTAAAGGTGAAAATAAATCCGCAATTGCTGTAGTTTTTGCCTCTTTTCTGACCCTGTTACGTCTTATTCATCCTCAGATCTTCTGTATATGTGCCAATAAATTTTAACTAATAGTAATCTGATGATATTTGTTACTAATTATTGCCTGTGCCAGTCATTGGTAAAATCATGGCAATACGTGTTAACTCTTTAATGTTCAGGTGGCAACATCACTGAATTCTGCTGAGTGTTTCCTTCTGCAATCTGGAGCTTCTGTTTTCACCTGGCATGGAAACCAGAGCACCTTTGAGCAGCAACAGCTGGCTGCAAAAGTTGCTGAGTTTTTGAAGGTGTGATGTGACCTGTTTGAAATTACACCAAGATCAAATTTATCCAATTTGAATCCAAATATGTATATTGACGATTTTGGTATGTTTTCCTGTGAAGAGCATCCTCATGTAGTAGGAGGATCAAAATGTGTGCATATCATTGTCATTACAGCACTAAGACCACGATAATGAGTTTTGAAAGGAAAATGCTGGATACAATAAACTCACATTCTGTTTGGTTAAATATGCAAAATTTCGGTCATTGTCACTGATTGAACTGCACAGTTCGGATTTTACTTGGTCCATGGTATATGATAAGCTAATAGAGGCAAGTTAGTCTCAGTGCTCTAGTTGTCTTCTGTGCACGTTTTAGGTACATGCAGAAGTTCACCAAGGATGGTACTTGTGATTACTTAAGTGCAAGCTGCTCTCAATGACAGCTGTTTGTTCAGTTGTTGCAGCATTGTCACTGCCGCTCGCACAATACTGCTTATCGTATATGTTCTCTTGGCATAACATCGTCATATATTCTGAGTGTAGTTTACTTACAAGTGCATATGCATTATCCTTCCAGTAAGTATGGCAGTTTGAAACCTAATTTACTTATAGTGCATCCTGTTGTCTTTGCTACTTAACATTGTGAGTTGCTTAGGCTATACTTTAAGTTGGTTACTACTGGGACTAATTGTGTTGTGCCTTGTCATTGCAGCCTGGAGTAGCTTTAAAACATGCTAAAGAAGGAACTGAAAGTTCAAGTTTCTGGTTCGCACTGGGAGGAAAACAAAGTTACACCAGCAAAAAAGTTTCTTCCGAGACCGCCAGAGATCCTCACTTGTTCACATTTTCATTCAATAAAGGTTAAACTTCATATTTAGTTCAGCAGAAGCTAGAATTTTTTCTCATATCTTGTTCTCTTATCGAGATATGATGGCTTCTGGAGTGGAGATGCTTTGCAAATTTCTATGTTATTCTTGTGGCCATGAGTTCTGACATTATTTCCTTTTCTTTTTACCATTTGGATGATGCAGGAAAGTTTGAGGTAAGTTGCATCCATGAATATTGGCATTTCTTGACATGTTGTAACATTAGCATGCTATATCTAACAATAAGTACTCGTTGTAGGTCGAGGAGGTATATAACTTCTCACAAGATGATCTTTTGACTGAGGATATCTTAGTACTTGATACACAAGCAGAGGTATTTGTTTGGGTTGGTCATTCTGTAGATTCCAAAGAAAAGCAAAATGCTTTTGAAATTGGTCAGGTATGGCTAAAATTTGTTTTTTCATGTTGGTTCCTTTGTCGAATGATTATATTATTCACTGTAAAAATTATTGGCAGAAATACATAGAAATGGCGGCATCTCTTGAAAATCTGGCCCCTACTGTTCCACTTTACAGAGTCACTGAAGGAAATGAACCATGCTTCTTCACCACTTATTTCTCATGGGATTCTGCAAAAGCCAATGTACGTCCTGTGGTGACAGGCACTGCCTTTTCTGCCTTGGAGTAAATCCCAATTTCTGCTATAATCGAATAATTCTTTTGCATGGCCAGTTATCCTAAGTGAAATATACCTCTATCTAACGCTTAGAAGACATGCGGAAATCTATTTAAGACACTATCAGTTGAACAGGTTTGTGTAAAGAAGTAATGTAGCATCCTGTCTTGAGCCATAAGATAATTGTGATGGAGGATGTCCATAGTGATTAAGATTAGTCAAATGCACAAAAGTAAGATTATGGAGTGAAAACGTGGATCTCTCATAAACTTATGAACATAGAGTGTGTATTTTGTTATCTGCCACCTTCCTCTCTATCTTCTTTATTAATGCTTAGGCCACTTCAACTTCCTGCTGCATTTTTATGGATTATCCATGGATATTGTTACTCTGCTTCTGTGTGACGAAATCGTGCTCCGACCTTTTCAATCAATATCTTTGGAAGCTTTTAGTTGGTCCTCTGTTTAGGGCATCTGACATGCATATGATACCATTCTCAACATTTAGTTTATTCATTTTATTTAATCTTCAGAAAAGCTTAATGAAGTTATGCTAAAAAGGAATGAGTCAGTATCCTGTATCATTGCTTATCATAGTTCTTCATTCAACCAGGTCCAGGGAAATTCGTTCCAAAAGAAGGTGGCATTATTGTTTGGCATAGGTCATGCTGTGGAGGTAAGTGTTTCGTCTGGTTGATAATGCTGCAGCTTAACCTGTTGTTGTAGGTATATGTGACAGACAAGTTGCCATTGTCTTCTTCAATGGGAAACTCTAAATATTGCTCGTGTTGTTTTTGATTCAAATTTTGCGTTGATGATGTTTAATCTGCCATACTTTGTGTTAAAGTACATCTCACATCTGCCATAAGTCTTATATTAATGTTGTCTCCTTCCACTTACTAATTTAAGGTTTAAGCTTTTCAGTTGGACATTCTAATCGTTCTATGTCTTTATGCACTAGTCCCATGGTAGAAGTTCTATTGGGATTAGATGTTCTTCACATGGATGGCTTGATTGGGTTGCCTTGTGGAGACCTGTTGGGAAATAACTGGAGTATAAATTGTTTTTCCTTCTTTGGAAATTGGTCTTTTTGCAGCTGATATACCTCTTTCTTTTCGTTTTCTTTCTCAAGAGCATATGTACTTTTGCTGGCCTAATTTCGGAGAATTTTTTTGAGAGGCATCTTGTGTTTCTATATGTGTATTACATATTCGCGGTTTATTGGCACTAATTTGCTTTAAGAATTTTAGCTAGACCAATGAGGTTAGTGAGGTATTTGGGCTTGCCATCATCATCATCATGGTGGTGGTGGTGGTGGGTGGTGTTGGCGATAATAATGATGATGACGTGCTTAGGCATCCTGTTCTTGTGGAACTCATAACTTGACCGAAGAGTATCTTTATCGAATGATGTATTGACTAAATAGAAAGGAAAACTATGTTTGTGACAAATGTTTTTTGACATAATTTTCGCCAAAATTTGTTATTGCCATGTCAATTATCTTTGTTAATTGACGGTAATTATTACTTGATTGAATTAAGACCTTTCCAAGCTTATGATTTATCTTTGCCCTGTGGTGTTGCTGCATGGCAATCTATTCTGTTGCAGAGCCAGGATAGGTCCAATGGCAATCAAGGAGGACCAACACAGAGGGCTTCAGCTTTGGCTGCATTATCTTCTGCATTTAATCCATCCTCTGGAAAGTCATCCAATTCAGTAAGAGTTTTTTCACCCACACTGGTTTTATCTTTTTCATCTTATTTTTCAGGTTTCTAATGTCATTGTGATAACTTCTTATTAGTAAAGTGTCAACTGGTGTTAGTGCAGTGCAAAGAAGCACTGCTATAGGCACTTTTATACTCCAAAATTGCGCAAGGTTTTCTGTCTGCATAAGTAGTATACCCCTGGTAACTCGGATGAGCTTTGCGTTGGTTAACTTTTAGTATTTGATGAAGTCTTTAGCTGTTGACTTGCATTTAACTCAGCCTCCTCTCTTTGAGAGCCGTGAATACCCTGCTTAAGATATACACTTTCAAATTGGGAGACAGACCTACCACGGCTTGTCTTCCACAATAATTTTGCAGAATTTGCTTGCACTCTAAGAATCAAGGACAGCAGTAGTAATTGTTGATATTCTTGGTCTTAGTGAATGTAGGGAATTCCACGTGCCACAGCAAAGAGCTTGATGCAACAGGCTACATCGATCTACTAACCTTAAGTTATACAGTTGTGTTGGTCTTTTTATCAGTTGACTATGTATTGGAGAAATGATTTTCACTACTCTGAAAGAGGGAAAATAGTCTTCATACTGAGAATGGAAACCTCCGTGGAGACATTGCAACAAAAAACTGCCAATGGTCTATCCACAAATGTCTCTAATAGAGCACATTATTAACATTATTAGTTGCACTTCTTTTGTAGAAGCATCCATAAACCTGACTCAATGTCATTGGTAACTTCTCTAAAGTTGGATTACTTGCTTGTATTGCTTGTCAAGTAAGAGAATGTGCCTTTGCTGGAAATGTAAACTCCCATATTAACCTCCAATTGAAGTTGGTACCTTCCTAGCTGCAGTTTTGGACGAAAGAGTTCAAAAGAAAGTTTTGACCTGTGGCTCTTTGCCCATCATCTGGTTCTATTTTATCTTGTTTTCAATGTGCCACAAAGATTCAACTGTTTATAGAAAACCAAAATTATGTTAAAGGTACTCTACCTCCCAGCCCCAGTTCTTTAGTCCCCTCCCACCCTATTAAAACAAAAGATAGATATTTCAATCGGTTGAAGATTCATTTGTCATAAAAAAAGGAAGTGACCACCTTCCCAATTTGTTGCCATTTGACATTCTATAGAAAGATCCTGAAGATCATTAAAAGGTGCCCCTGCACATCATCTATCACTACTGGAGGAGATGAAAATTTTCAGTTTCCTTTTATACATTTGATTGCATAAGATCCAGGAAACCATTCAAAGGTGCCCCTTCACGTCATTTATCATCACTGGAGGTGATGAAATTCTCACTCTGCTTCTTAGATTCGGCATTTATAAGTTTGTTTCGTCCCATAGTAAATATTGTTTCTTCATCTATTTTATATGCATGGTTTCAGATTATTCAAGCGAATTGATGTTTTAATATGATTTTATGTTTCCTCGTTTTGGGTTTAAATTTACCAAATTGTGAAATCGAAATTCAATTCATGATGCTGCTTTTAATATTTATTCTTGTCTTAGGGTGGTGACAAATCCAATGGCTCAGACAATAGTGGACCCAGGCAACGAGCTGAAGCATTAGCTGCCTTATCTTCTGCTTTTAATTCCTCTTCACTGTCAAAACCCTCTGCCCAAAGGTCATCAGGAAGTGGTCAAGGATCACAAAGAGCAGCAGCTGTAGCAGCTCTTTCTTCTGTTCTAACTGCTGAGAAGTCGCCAGATAACTCCCCCACTCGGTCCAGTGGACCTGCTCCAGAAAGTAGCCCGCCAGGTAAACTTCTTAAACTTGGTAGGAATTTTCTCCACATTATATCTCTTTATTTGCATGTGCTTGCTATGCTAAGTTTAATTACGCATGTAAGATTTTACTGCAATGCGTGATCATGACAGAGACAAACTGGAGCCTTTGTCTTTTCCTCCTTCCTGCTTGTTAGTTAATTTTACCACTCTCGGGCCTTGCAGTGCTTTGCCAAACCTTTATATGGTTGAAACCTATCTTTGATTGTTGAAAGAAATTTAACTCACTTTGTTACAAGTATTTAGCACTTTTTTGCATCCATTTTCTTCATGAATAAATGTGGACACAAAGTATGTTATATAATTGACTGTCTGCAGTGGACACAAAAGGTGAAAAACCCGTTTCCGGAGCGGAAGATCTGGTGGAAGTCTCGGAGGATAATGATACAGAGGGATCTGCACCTTTCTCAGAAAACAATGAGGAGCAATCAGAAGCCAAGCAAGAGCCACTCCAGGATGTTAACGCCAGTGAAAATATTGTAACTGTGTTCAGTTATGATCAACTGAAGGTTAAATCGGACAATCCAGTGACTGGAATAGACTTTAAAAGGAGAGAGGTCAGTAAACATTGTGAGCCTTGGTCATTTTTTAGCTGATTCATGTTTCAGATTATTTTTCATGTTGCTTTTTTTTACATGCTAGGCTTATCTGTCGGACGAGGGATTTCAGGCTGTCCTAGGGATGACAAAGGATGCATTTTACAAGTTGCCAAAATGGAAGCAGGACATGCTCAAGAAGAAAGTCGATTTGTTTTAGCAAAAATGTGATCTTCTGCCGCTGCTGTGTTGCATTTCTTAGAGTTCCTTGTTTCGCATATTGAATGTGTTCTCCGCCAGAAAGTTGTGAGTTCATTGGTGCACTTCGATCTGGGACTGCTGTGTCTGGCATTTTGCCCTTTGATGAGTTTGTAGCCGTCGGTAGACCAGTATGGGTTGTGCCGCCATTGGAAGAGTGTTATTTTTTCAAATGCTCCTTTCTAGAAGCTGCTGCCTCCTGTCGGTCGGGGATAGTAGTTTGAAATATGGTAGGCAAGCTACAATTCTTTGATTTGGTTGTGCGAATCCCCGATCGTGATTTGTTCATTTTTTTTGCCTCTTTCCATTCGATTTGTGTAAATGGGGGTGTATATGTAATGCATGAATGTTATATAGTCTCATTGTAAGACATGAAGATGAGTATTGTTTGTACCGCTGCGCTTGCTGTTATCTATCGATGTTTCGGCTTTGCCTGTTCCTTTTCTTCTGCTTGGGTGGCAGATAATGCTCGATCTATGTCACTGGTGTCGGTCCTTTATGAACAGAGTTATGCATATCTGCTTACTCAGATGCGAAATAGTTTGAATTGGATATCTCTGAGTCATTTTCAGAGAGCTCTCACTTTTGTGGTCCTGCCATTCGTTTATTGATGATATTCAAGTATTTTTCCAGCTCCTCTCTCTCTTTTCATGGGCAGCATTATGCCTCGGCTTGCTCTGCCGAGCCAAATTGTTGCGGCGACTAGCCCAGCCGAGCAGCAATTCCGGCTCGATTTGGAGCAAAGTAAGCGCGACCAAAAAAAGAAAGACTCTCAGTGTGCGAATTCGGATGTAAATGAGGCTAAACCACTCAAACGAAAAAGGAATGTCCATTGTGACTCAATCGAACTACAACTCCATTCAAGGTTTCCCCTCCAATTACCAAAAAAAACGGATAAAAAAAGCTTCAAATGGCATTCGCACTATAATTGTCATTTATGGAACATAAAGCTTCTTTTCTTTTCTATAGGTTCCACCCTAGAACCGGAAACTGGACCAGTTCTCGGGTTGGACCGGTTCGGGAACCGGTCCGATTTAGGGTTTTGATAATCTCCTTTTCTTTACTCTTTATAAGAAGAGGAAAAATTATTAAAAAAAATTATTGGTTTACGTGGTTAGGTTCTGTACCTAGAACAGGGAATTGGTCTGATTTTTCCCACTTAAAAATTTGGAATCAGAAATCGCCTAAAATCGGTCGATTCAATCGGTTACTGTGCACACCCCTATTAAAAAGCCATCCTTTGTTTTATTCAAAAAGGATCTCATGATGTCATTTCTTATCACGATAATAATCTTCATCTTCATAAGTTGGTTTTGCTTGTTTGTTGTTTATGTCATTAGAATTCCTTTTGAGAACACTCTAGCATATTTAGGATGAAATTGAAGAAGGAAAACTTCCCCAATCTTCACTCTTTTTTAATTATAAAAGAAGAAATTAATAATGATTGAAAGTACATATCAAAAAATGAAAAATACCTCTTATTTGGTTTTTCTTGAAAGTTAAGTTACATGAGAGGAATCATGGACGAGTCAGACCTAACCAACATATTCAAAAACGTTCCCTGTGAAGCAATATAAGATTAACCGTGAAGAAAATAACGAACCCCGAGTTTTGGTTTTGGTAAAAATATGAAGAACATCGATGAGGCATTAAAGATGAATTTCTTAAACATAAAACTGTATATATTATTTTAGCTAGGGGCGATCCGGTTCTAGATTGGGTCGATTCCCACCCTAAAACTGAGAATCGGATAAGAAGAGTCCGTTCCCCCTTTGTGGAACTGGAAACTGCCACCGACAAGTCTCGTTGCGATTATCTGTTGAGTCTAGGAATCGGCGGTAATATCTTTATTCTATTTTTTCCTATTCTTTGAAAGACTGCAAGTGTTATTGCATAATCTAAACTCTCATTTATTAGTGTTTTGGATTTTAAATTAATGAAAATCTCGGTGAAAAGACGTTAAAGGTGCGGTAAATTATCATCAAGCATCATTAACTTGTTAATAAAGAAAAAGATCAGTTCGATTTGGATGGTTCGGTTCACATTTGGAATCGAGAATTAGACCAATAATCAACGTTCCAAATTTCAGGAACTAGGAATCGAAACCTCTGGTACGGCGAAAACCGCCTGGTGCAGTCCGGTTTTAATGCTCACCCCTAATTTCAACCATAAGAATATAGCATATAGAAACGTAGTCTTTTCGCTTTTAACCTTGCTTTCACTTAAATCCTCAAACAAAGAAATTTTGTCATTCATTGTTTGTGATCGGGAATATGAAACCATGCACAAGGGCTCGACAAAAGGGAAGAGATGGTGACATGGAACCGAGAAGGTAGGGGCACTTTAGTCAATTCACAAGGTGTGGCTTTAGCCAAAAGGGTTGTGCAAATAGCCTCCCCTCAACTTCTTATTTTAAGAGAGAGGAAAAAAAAAAATTTAAAATCAATTATTTTTTTTTTCTTAAACCCTTCTCTTCTCTTCGCCCCTTTCCATAAACCCCGAACCGTTCCACAGTCGGAAGAAGCCACCGCAAACGGCGGCGATCGGAAGCACCCGCCGCCGCCGCCGCCATGAAGCCACAGAAGCCCAAGGACCGGAGGCGGGAAGAGCGACCCTCGTCGCTTCAACAGGATCGGCAAACGGAGCACGACCCCGCCGAAGAACCGTTGCGAGACGGCGCCGACATCTGCCAACAGCTCATGGACCGCTACGCCAAGTCCTCCGCCCCTCAGCACCGCCACCTCCTCGCCACCGCCGCCGCCATGCGCGCCATCCTCGACGCCGAGTCCCTCCCCCTCGCGCCCGCCTCGTACTTCGGCGCCGCCATGTCCGCCGTCGAGACCACGTCCTCGCTGCAGGCCCTGGACTCCACGGAGATCGCGGCGCTCATGTCCTTCCTCGTGATCGTCCTGCCCGCGGTACCGCCGCGGGGGGTTGCACCCGCGAGGGCGAGGGAGGCGGCGGAGGTGCTGGCGGAGGTGTTGGCGAGGGAGGAGGAGAAGCTGTCCGTGTCCAGCGTGAGGTCCGCGGTGAAGTGTTTGGGGATTTTGCTTGGGTTTTGCGACTTGGAGGATTGGAATTCGGTGAAATTGGGGTTGAAGACGCTTTTGAAATTCTCCCTGGACAAGCGTCCCAAGGTACTGTCGCAAATCACACATTGCTGTATCCTGTTCTGCTCTGCTCTTTTAAGCTCTTTCGATTTTTTCTTTTTTGTTAGACTTTGCAACATAAACTTGTCACCTTTCTGGTCAGTAAATTGGGCTTTGAAAGGTGGAAGTGTGTTCCTATTCTTTCGCCTGTTGTAAGAAGTGACTAACAATTGCTTAGGTGTTGATCTTGATTGTAGACTTGAAGATATGTTATGTTCTTTCCTCAGGTTCGGCGATGTGCACAAGAATGTCTTGAAAAGGTTTTCAAGTGCTTTAAGTCCTCAAGTGTTGTTAGGAAAGCAAGCAAGCTGGTACTGTCTTCTTTCGAAAGTTGCAGTTCTTCGGCAGATTGGTCAAGGACTACAAGTCCTGAGGATGGATCTAAAGATGATAAACTGTTGAAATCCCAAAATATAGGATTCTTACATATGCTTAATGTGCTGATATCCGTTTGTCCGTATCTATCTGCCAAAGTAAACATTCAGATTCTTTCAGAATTAGACAAGCTTATGAGTCCCAGGTTCTCAGCGCTTACAGCACAGATTCTTAAGATCATCGAGGCATTATTGGAAACTCTAGCAGTGGGAGATACTGTTCAAGAGATAGAAAATGTCATCACTTCTCTTGCTTCATATGTTTCTTCAAAAGAGAACCCAGTGGACACTGTCATGACTGCTGCGAACTTGTTAAGAGTTGCTCTGAATAAATTTCACACTGGAGGATCAAGCTTGTGGATTAAGAACCTTCCTGTAGTTTGGGAGTCTCTAGCAGGTATGCTTCTTGACTTTCTTGGTGCAAGAGGTGCCCTGACTGCTTAGTTTTGGTAGTTTCTTAGCTAATTTTGCGATCTAGGTTCTACAATCATGCCATGTTTTCCCATACTTCTCTACATTTTAAATCAGCCCATAATGCTCCTATTCTTTGCCTCACATGGTGCGTTTGGAAAAGAATGGAATAAGGGACAAATCAAATATCTTAATCTTCTTTTGATTCATTTTTTGCTAATTTTAAGCATTTGGTGGGGTACATGCTCTCATCAGTTGTTGAATTACTGTTCGTTTTGTTATTTTCTTTTCTTGGTCTCTCATCTACGTGATGTATTTGAGCCGATTTCTCAATTAATAAATTTTTTTGTTAATAAAATACTGTCCTGTATCCTAAGGTGGATTCCTTAGTTGGTGAGGATTTCCTTGTCACATTTTGTGCTGCCTTCTAAATCTCCAACGCTGCTGATATCAATCTTTATCACCGATAGACTTTGTTGATTGAAGATTTACCTTCCGTTGTGTAAAGTGGTGCATGGAAGGAGGTGCATCAAATTTAAATTGTGTATCTTGCTTGTCACTGTACTCTACAAAGTTATTTAAATGTCATTGATGTTTTGACAACACACTTGGAAGATTTGTAAAGGGCAATGGTTGATAGCCATGACACAAATTGAAGTTCGATGGTAGAACAGACAATACGGAAAAGTTAAACCATCTGTGTATTACCAAAAAAATGTGATCTCTACGTTAATCAAAAGATGTACTGCCTTTAAATTAATTTATTGCACCTTGTTCATTGATTAACTTTCCTAAATATGGTCAACCTTTGTTGCATATCATTTTTTCATTTTACTGTTTCTTTTCTCTGCTGTCGATGTTAATCATTATTTCGCCCCTGTTATTTCTTAAATCATTACAGCAATCTTATCTGTCTTGGTGGAATGAAGGAGTTATGATCCGAGCTACCGTCGTCGGCCCTTGTCATTAGACCACTATCTGTGCATGTATTTTTAGCCTGGACTCTCGAATCTTTTGCTAGAAAAAAAATCTTATGTATGGTGGTATGAAGGAGTTATGATAGAACAAGCAGTGGCTCAAAAGGGTATCATCCCTCTTACAAGAAATAACATGCAAGGGCGGTACATCAAAGAGTCTAAGCCATCATTTTTTAGATATTGGAAGTGTGGGACTACCCCTTGCCTGATAAACAAATGAACCTCTACCACCCAGGAGCCTAGGTCAATGAACTTGGAAGCTTACTTTCATGGACTCTACTTTTATTCCTTTGTTAATTTTCAGTTACTGGAGATGAGATTGTGGATGCTTCGCTTGATCTTATAGTATTGTTAATGCCAATGTTTGTTTTCTGATGCACTCGATTATACTAATTTAGGACTTCTTGCTGGTGAGGCTGATGCTGCATCGCAGGCCTCAAGTATTTTGAAGGACTTGATTACTGAACAAGTAAATGAAAAGACTTTCGTTAGGGAGAGCCAACCAAGTGATGATGTAAGTGAGGAGAGTCTGGAAACAATTGCAATAAGGAGAATATGTATTGCTTTGGAAAGTGCCCTCAATGCCCATGGTGAAACTCCAAATCAGCATGCACTTTCCGTGATCTCTCTTTTGTACCTCAAACTTGGTATGCATACATCTTGATTCTTGTATGCTATATCTTTGTTTCTTGCCATTCGTCAATTGCAAATAAATGTATTAACCCTTAAGTTTGTTATGAAATAACTCGAGCGCAATATGTTTAATGTTCTCTGTTTCTTGTGATTTGTATGATTGGCATGATTAAGTTCTACCAGATATTGATCAACTACTGCTATATGTCAATTAGTATAAAATGAGTTATGAGATTGTTCCGGATTATGAATGCTGAATTATGAATATTGGTTTTACCGTGGATTTTACCCTTTTCATTCATCTATCTGTTCTTTTGAACAAGCTAGGTGTACATACCTCCTTCATGATCCCGTTCCACGAAAAAGGAGATTGTTTTCTCTTGGAAGTTCATTGGAATTATGGAATGATAGTTTTTTTTTTTTAAATAGTGCCACATTGGTTGTGGCTGACAGTTTTTTTCTCTAATAGTATGGAATGAGTTGTGAGATTGTTCCGGATTTATTTCGCATGCACTCTTCTTAAAGTGTATAGAGACAATTTTTTTCTCATTTGATTATCTTTGTTAATATGACCACGAACTGATTTATACAGTCCTCTCATCTCTGTAAATGTTGTGTAGGAAAAACTTCTTACATCTATATGAGGAGTACCCTACTCAAACTTGTTCACTTAATGACCCCAGCTGGAAGGGACCCATCTATCAGAGGCCATGTACGTATTTGTATGCTTTAAAAATTTATTGGCATGAGAAATGTCATTGGTGTGAAATAGCTGTTATTTCTGTAGAATCATCTTTAGCTTCTTTTTAAATTCTTGCAAGTGTGCAAGTTTGCCATATAGTGGTCTTGTCATATTATGGTAAAGAGCGTCCGAAAATGTTGGTTATCATCTGTAGTTAAGAGTGTAATGGCCCAAATTGCCTCTGGTTCTTGGGTATGGTTGCTCTCCACATGGCATGTCAGTGCAGTGGGGTTCCTTCTTTCATTTTAATTGCTACTAAAGTTACGAGTACGTTATGAATGGATAAAATCCTTGAATCACAGTGTTGCTTTTTGAAGCAACAAAAGTACTTGATTAAGTGATGATGTTTTCATTCATAGCAAGGCTGGTTACTCAAGGAAGAAGGCAAGATGCTTTTTCCTTTTTTTTTTTAATGTTACTATGGAAGTGGAAATGCAACTTGAAAACATGCATGTGGATGTAAATACTTTTATTGTCATCATCAATGAATTGAGCTCTTTTTCGGTTTCTTGATCTCTTTTGGTACTTGGGTTTGCACCCCCTTGCTGCCCTATACTTGATTTAATTTTCATGTATAAAGGAAAAAGAGAATGATGTAAAGGCTATTACTTTGTCTTGCTCTCCAAAATTTGATTTTTCAAGTCATCTTTGTTTCATATGTTTATCCCGTTAAAGTGTGCAAAGAAGAAGATGGGGGTCATGGAAAACTCTATGAATTTTGTTAGAGTTACTTTGAATTGTTGATTGGAGCGTTAACAAAAGGTTATTTTTGTTACTCACGTATAAGGATTAACAAAAGCTTCTTTTACTCAATTGGGTAGATGACAAGTTAACAGAGCTTTGAGCATAGTACATTGCCATTATCTGATGAAACAAATAATTGACTGTCTAGTTTTATTAAAGTAATACTTGTGTAGTTTGAAGATTGTTCGAGTGGTAACTCATCAATGTTTAATTTACTGTGATTCACAGCTTCAGAGATGTATTGGTTCTGCTGTAATTGCTATGGGCCCAGAAAAGATGCTTTCTGTTGTGCCTATTTCACTGCATCCCGACGACTTTAGTTGCAGTAATGTTTGGTTGGTGCCCATTCTAAGAGATTATGTGGTTGGTTCATCACTTGAGTATTACATGGATTATATTGTGCCCCTTGCAAAATCTTTCAAACGTGCTAGTTCTGGAGGTATGTCATCATTCTACATGCTTTTGTTTCTACAATTTTCATTTTTCAGATATCATATATGATGTCATAGTAAGTGTGGAGATCCTTGGCTGTTTGGCACAGATTCACCACTGGTTGTGCATAACTTATGACTTATCAATTAAAAGCAACCTAGAATCTCCATCTTTAATTCCATATTCAGATTCAAATCAGTTAAAGTAGGGTAAAAGTCCTGCTCTTTGCAAAGGCACTACTAAATGTTCTTTGACAGGAGACACATTGTATAATGTCTTTCAAGGAATAAGTGCACCAAATTCTGTGCCTTTAATCAATAACTCAATACAAAAAAAAAAAATTGTCCATCAGAAACTCCTCATGAAAGATCATCATCACATGAGATTATTTTTGCATGTTCGTAAGCTATGCTAGAAGGACCTACAGTCTCCAATAAGACTCTCCGTAGACTTATCAAGCTGGGTGGTTCAACCTGCTCATAAGCTGTGCTGAAAGCTTGTTTGAAACATTCTAACAGAATTGTCATCTTCTTGATTTTTTTATTTGTTGATCCCATTTGATAGTCACCATCCCAAAGCGTTCAACTCTCCTTACTTGGCTTATGATACCCTTTGAATGATACAAATAGATATTAATTCTTATCACAATTGTTCACCTCAAGGTATGTTTTTTGCAATCTATAGATATATGATAGCAGAGACAAAGGTCTGGGAAGCAATATATTGTTTTTTATTCAATTTTATTCTTCATCTGCCTCTGTGACATTAACTTTTCCTTCATTGATGTATATTTTTTAGTGTGAGCTTTGCTTAAATGCCAATTCTTCATGAATGTAATGGAGTCCTTAATCAGCATTTTTATTTGATTTGAGTTTTGTTCAGTTCATCGTTAATGTTTTGGTGACATTGAGGATTTGATTCTGCTTCTGTTTATCTTTTCTCCAGTTAAGAAATCAGTACTTGGTAAAGAGCTGCTGGGTCATGCTCATGACCTTTGGAAACTGCTACCGGCCTTTTGCCGGGGTTCAAGTGATACAGACGAACAGTTTAGACGTTTGGCAGTATTATTGACTGATTTTCTGAAAAAAGATTCCTTTATGCATGAAAGTGTGGCTCTTGCTTTGAAGGTGATCTTTCTTGTCACGATGGTCACATTTGGCTCACTCTTGTTCTTTAGCTGGGAAGAGGTTATTATACCGTTTTCAGATCTCCTCATAGTACTGTTGTAATTCTGCAGATCCTTGTGAATCAGAATACAAGTGTACTCGGCTCTAGAGTAGTTAAAGATTTGGACATGTGTACTGTGCAAGCATCCGGATTGGAATTTCAAACTCCACCGACTTACTCCATGAAAACTGCAAGCAGAAATATCAAGGCTTTAAGTTCTTGCTCTACTGAATTGCTCCAACTTTTATCTGACTTATTTGTCGATTCCATTCCCGCGACAAGGTCATACCTGAAGGTTCTCCATCAATCACTAAATTAAGTCTTTTTTGGCTCTATACTAATTTCTGACTAGTTATTCTGCAGTTGTTTTTTCTTTTCCCCTTTCATATTCATAATTTTCCACTTACTTTGGTTGTCTGAACTTCTTCTCCAATTTTTTAGGCATATGCCTCATCTCAAAGATGCTAATAGGATTCACGTGCACTATAAGATAGAATAGGGTACTAATACTCTATTATAATTATGTTTGTTCAAACTCCATCTCCGTCCTCAGTCCTATCAAGATTGAAAATAGCATAACTGGTAGGGGCTCTTTCTGTCAATGTTAATTGCTGGAGGAAGTAGAGAGGAATTCAAAGGTTTCTGTTTTCGCGATGAGGCAGTTGACATGCTAAATTTGATTGTTGGGTTAGTTAGATTTAGACCTGTCTAATCTCCTTCCTAGTGAGGCTGCATCATTCTCATAAGTGCTGCAGAAAGTATTGTGGAAACAGTTCAATTAGATGGGGTTGGCTACATAAAATATATATTAGGTCATTGTGCGCTATTTGATACCCTATCCTACGGAAGCTTCATACATTTTGGGATTCTAGCTAACAGTTTCTGTCATGTGTTCTTAGACCTCCCTCCAGCCCTTTGGACATGTAAATTTCCCTTAAGTACGTAAATTAATACTTCTGATTGCATCATTCAAGGCACTTTTCCAATTGCACACGCTAGTGGTTGCCATGGGGAGGAGCGGGCCAGGAATTGTGTTCCCAGACCCTGCCCTAAGGGGAAAGTATTGTTCCATCCCTACTCTGCATGAGAGAATAGTTCCCAAGTGTGCCCCACAAGACAACACAAGTTTAAAAAAAAAAAAATCAGAAAATCAAGAGAAAAATCTTCACTGTCAGAATAGTTACATACTTTTGACTCTCTAGAGTAAAATGTGAGTTCAAGATGCATTGATTCTAAAATTATACCTTACTTGGAGTCTTCTACTCAGCATGATCGTCTTTCCTTTTCTCATGCCATTGACAATATCGAATCTTCATATGAAAGAGTATGTATATGGAGAAAAGCATTAGGTGGAGAATAGGCCAAATAGGTTGAAAACAATGACCAGATTTTCTATGCATATGTTCGAAACATTCCATGACTGTTGAAAGTAAGTTATGGTTGGTATAAAGAAGTGAATGCAACTTTTGTTGGCGTGATAAATATGGGCAATTCTATAGGACATGTGGTCCCGTCACTTCATGAAGCTATGGGAACAACTTGAACTGACTTGAAAAAGTATATTTTTAACTATCAATTCAAGATTCAACTCGAAATTTTTCATGTCCTTTTTTTAATATTTAAAATTTTATAAGTGAGTTAAAATTAATGTTCAACGTGCACAGAAATAATTTTATATCATTAAACTTTGGATTAGATATTATTATTTTACTTGATTAATTATTTTTCTATATTTGATGGTTTTAATTTTTTATTTTAATGTAAAATGGAAAAGGAAAATAATGGCATTGTTTTTTGTGTAGTAGAAACATTTGTTAGAAGCATGGTAGCCATACATAAAGCTAGAAATTTTTAGGACTTTTTATTATATTCTTCCTGACGACATATTATTCTTTAGAAATGTAAAAAAGAAAAAATACTAAAAAAAAGTCATTTGTGAGGTCGGGGCAGCATTGAAAACAATGGATCATGTACTTGTTATTAGAAAACCTAAAGGAAAGTTAAAAAGAATTAAAGCTATGGGAGGTGAAGTGGCATCAATATACTGTACCAAGTGTCCACTCTCCATGAACTCACCATGGAACACCAAAATACTTTGAAGTGCTAGATTTGGTTAGATAGATTAGGTTAGCTATCATGGAAGGAATCATCATGCATGTGAATTATAGAACTTCGTGGCTGCTTTTTTAATTGGATCAAATTTCTGAGCGCTATAAAGCATTCAATTATTTTGCAAATGAACTTCTTGAAAGAGAGGATTGAGCCCTGTGGATTGCATCGAATTAGCGAAAGGAAGCTGTATTGAGTGATTGTCTTAAAGAACTTTAACTTCCAAGATATATGTTCAGTTAATGCTCATGGATTACCTTTTACTTTTCCCCTGAAGTATGCTTAGTAATTGACATACATAATATGAGTTAGATTATCATGCTCAGTTTTAATTTCTCAGGATGCTATTGGTTGCTTAGCTTCTGTCACGGATTGTTCTGCAACCAGAGAAATTTTTGTGTCGTTTCTCAGAAGATTTGGCATTCTAAATAATAGAGATGAATTTGAGAGGGGAAGAGATGAAATGGATGCATCAACAGACAGAGAACCAGGAAATGAGCACACTATCGATGAAAATGCTAAAAGGTAACAGAGAGAGAATGCCTTGTGGATAGAATTGTTAGCAAATTATATAGATGATTAGAATGAAAGATTCATGTATGTTCACATGCCCATATACACTTGACTGCTGACAATCACCTGATAAAGGGGGAGTCCTTCAGGTGCATAATCGACAATTCATTGTAACAGATGTCTGATTATCGACAGACCAACTCTGTTGTGTGAGCATCCAGAACTTTTTTCTACTATTAGCAATTGCAGAGATTACTAGGTTGCGTCTATATGCATAGATTCTATATTCTGCTTGCAGAATTTTGAGCTACCATCTTATGAAAATTGGGCACTGCTGTTTCCTCTTCTTGATGACATTGTGTCATGTTCTATGCAAGTACAGTACAGTCATGAGAATGCATACAGAGTGATAAATCCACTCCTGTTATGATATTAAGAGAATGCAGTTTCACTCAGGTGCTTGTTGTTGGAGCTAGCATCTTTTCTTATTGAAGGAGCACAGAAGGATCTCATTGATTTGGTGTTTAGCTTTGTCAAAGACACTTTTCAGGTGTGCATCGACTTTAATAACAGAAGGTTTATTTTCTTGATTTAATGGATGAGTTTAGTGATTTCTGTAGCCTAAAATCATTCATGAATTTTCTTCTACAAGGAAAGCAATGACAATGGCCATGCTGAAGCATACAATGCTTTGCGCAAAATTTTGGAGGTATGTTTGTGGTATCTTCATTTAAAGATATATTCTTACTGGAAGTGAATGTTTTTCTGTCATTTCTATTATGCAGGATCATCCCTGGTTTTGTTCATCTCAATATTCGCAGTTGATAGATTTACTAATTGGCCTAAAGACTCCGTCTGATACTGCTACTCTGAGAAGCCGCTTTACCTGTTTTCATGTTCTGATGGTTCATGCATTAAAGGTCAGAATGTTTCTTGTGGCAATGCAGTACTTGCTTTGACATGTGTATGTTTGGTGTCTACTGTTCTTGTAAGAAGTGTAGAATTTTATGTCCTTCAGTTTTAGTGTATCTCAGGTTTTGACATAAATAGAAGCCATTTCTTGTTCTTTCCATAAACTAAATGAAAACTATGTCCTGGGCTGGTTTTCTTGGAATCAGAGTGCAACGAGCCTTAAAGAAATGTCTTAATCCTGTGTTAGTAAAAGACCTCAAGATTAGTCCACTTGAAAAGAAAAGTATACAACATTTATTGAAGAAGAAATTGCATTTCTCTTTCCATAATAAATTTTTCCTTGTGTTTCTTGCTTTTATATTCTTGATGTGCTGGAACAGTTATTTTAGTAGTTCTTTGAGTTTGGCTTTTGTTCTCTCTCTGTTGCCATAATCGTATGCTGCACGTGAGCAGCTATATCACAATCCCTAAATTAAATACTTCCATTTCTTGTTCTGTTCCCACAATATTTCTGCATGGCCTCCTGCCTTGGGCAATTCCCTCCATTGCAAAGATTAGATCTAAAAGCAGGCCTTTCCCTTCCTAGAGGAGACTCGAATTTTACCCACACAGCAGGTGTAATGTCTGTAGAACATGCTTGTCTTTGTGAATATGAAGACTCTTGGACCTTTTTCAATTTTCTGACTCCCGAATTCGTAAATGGCTAACAGCTTCTTGTATAAAGCTAAGCATGGAGTATTTAATCACCTTTTTATTTTCTACTGAACTTTGTAAAAGTAAAAAAATCAAAACTGATTATGGAAATGGTGTTTTGCTTAAAGTTTCTCTCTTACCCCTGTAAACCTAACAGATCAGTTTTTGCCAATCTCAGAATTTTATAAATTTCTAATATTCTGATCCAATTATCGCCATTCACTCATCTTCCATCGATTATTGAATGTCATGAATGGCTTTTCCACTTTTAACGCTAAAGACTTTTTTTTCTTTTGGCTCGTGTCTTAACACGGAAGGAATCATTTATGTACTTCCTGCAAACACGTTCTTAAGCTTTTGGTTGTGGTGTATTTGCAGTTGTAGTTCAAAATTAAGTAATATAAGCACCTCTATTCTTGATGTCATATGCTGTTCTATTTGACATGTCAAGTTAATTCTTTAATGCAGATGAACTCTGAGGAGCAGCAGGAGGAGGAGAAGGAGAACGAAGATTCAAAAGCCTTTTTCATCCTCAATGAGATTATACTTGTCTTAAAAGATGTAAGAACCACCTTTACAATGTGAGGGTGATGATCCACTTGGGGCACTAATCACTGTCGTGACATATGAAATTTGCAGGGTAAGGAGGAATCTAGGAAGGAAGCTTATGATGTTCTCATCCACATAAGTTCCAGCTTGAAAAGCATTTCGCCTGTTGGTTCAGTTGCACCTTATCAGAAACTAATTAACATGGTATGGAATTCCTCATTATGGGACATATTTGTGTAGTTTTGGCGGAAATCACTGCTTATATTTTAAGACATGTTTGAGACTATGTACATTCTATATTTATAAGTAAAATGAATCCATTAAAGAGCAAAGTGTTAAAGAACATCAGTAACATACAAGGAAAGCCAAAATAGAACTTTAGAAGAGTGGATACATGAGGCCATAGGCGGTTGAAAGTAACAACAATGGAAGAGGTTGAAGCAGATCCTTCTAATTATGTTGTCCGACATACGTACTTTACAATGGTAGATCCTAGACAAGTTGTCTTCTGGAAGGACTTTCGTGTTGTAAATAATTGGTTTCTGCCCTACCTCAAATAGCATCCGCAGATGGGGGAAAAGTTGAAGAAGAATGTGGTGAATCAATTCCTCCTCTTCTTTGGCCATGTTGTTGTTCCTGACTTCAATATTGTGAAACAGTGGACTGAAGTCCTCATTGTCTTGTGCATACTGCTTATCCGCCTGATATTGGTTAAAAATCTTTACCAGGTCATGAATAAGTATGTGCATTGTATTTGAAAATCGTAAGCCTGGTATAACTACAAATTGATTCTGTGGCCTCAAAACATACTTCTCTGCTAAAAGAAGAAGCTAATTTTGTGGCTGCAGTATGGTAGTGTCACAACATATTCCTTCATTTATTCATGTCTAGCTGCTTCTGCCAGGGGTTAGGCTTTGCAGTTGCAGCCAGAGGAGGAGATGAATAATGCCCTCTAACCAGTAGAAAGACAGAGAACTGAAATACAAGTGGCCAAATTCAAAATCATGTGGTCTGTATCTTGTGGATGCCTTGTTGGCTCCTAAGCACAATCACAGTAGAATACTTAAAAACCAAAAGTTTAAAAAAAAAATCCCCATTTTTAGATTTATCAAACTCGACTTAAATCACCATATGTTTATGAAATTCTCATGCATTCATTCACTAGTTAACGCAGAACAACAACATTTTTAAAAATATCGAAGGCAGAGAAAAGATGATTTGACTGAAAAAATGTACCCATTAACCGCAGCACGATTGAGTAAGTTAAAATAAAGTTCTAGTGTTGACATTATTGAAGAGGAGATATTATTATGGTTAAGAGCAAACAAAAGTTTGGTCATTTACAGAAAGCATGCCACCTTTTGCGATTTAGACTTGTCTTTTGTGCACCTTTTTTCTAGTCATGTCTTTATATCCTAAGCTTCGAGAGTTGGACAAGGCAGACCACTTGGTATGTGGCCATACCCAATTGTTGCACCTGAGTCTGAGTATCATATTTTTTAACCTAGTTTGGACTAGGTTTTATCCTGCTACCACTTGGAAAGAAATGTCCAGTTAATTTCTCGATCAGATATTGCTAGGGTTTTCATGCAACATGTTCTATCACGATCAGTTCTACTTAATTATTACAAAGTAAAGCCTACATTCACCTTGCATCAGATGCTTCGCACCCCATTTTATTTAATTCTCTAGTGCTGTGCATTCCTGACCAGTTTGTCATGGGAAAATTCTCGTCTATCTGACAACTGTTGGCAGCTAATTTATCAAGTGGGTCCATATAATTTTTGTAGGATTGGTATATGTACCATAGAGTTTGTGAGATGTAATTGGCTAATCTAGTAGACTGCATCCATGCTAGGATCTCTTCTGCTTAGGTACATTTGACTACCTCAAGTAGTCTATTCAATCGAAATTCTGCATTTGTTTCATCTGATGAAAGTGCAGAATTTAAGAAGTCAAATTGGTCTGTCAAGGGGTAGTGTAGTGAAGCCTAATTGGTCTACTTAATTATTTCAAAGTAAGGCCTACGTTCACCTTTATGCTTCACTCACCCCATGGAAAAGTGCCGTGGTATTCATGACGAGTTTGTCATAGGAAAATTCTAGTCTATCTGACATAGAGGAGACAGTTTGCCGCTATTTTATAATGTGTGTCCATATATTTTTTGTAGGATTGGTATATGTACCATATAATTTGTGAGAAGCAACTGGTTATTTAGTAGACTACACCCATGCTAGGATCTCTTCTGCTTAGGTATATCTTGACTACCTCATGCAGCCTATTCAATCGAAGTTCTGCATTTGTTTCATCCGAAAAAAAACGCAGAAATTTTAAGAAGCCAAATTTAATAAGTCAAATTGGTCTATCAAGGGGTAGTGTAGTAAAGCCTATTGATCTACTTAATTATTTCAAAGTAAAGCCTACATTCACCTTTATGCTTCACTCACCCCATGCAAAAGTGCCGTGGCATTCGTGACGAGTTTGTCATAGGAAAATTCTAGTCTATCTGACATAGAGGAGACAGTTGGCCGCTAATTTATAATGTGGGTCCATATAGTTTTTGTAGGATTGGTATATGTACCATATAATTTGTGAGAAGCAACTGGTTATTTAGTAGACTACACCCATGCTAGGATCTCTTCTGCTTAGGTATATCTTGACTACCTCAAGTAGCCTATTCAATCGAAGTTCTGCATTTGTTTCACCCGAAAAAAAACGCAGAAATTTTAAGAAGCCAAATTTAATAAGTCAAATTGGTCTATCAAGGGGTAGTGTAGTAAAGCCTAATTGATCTACTTAATTATTTCAAAGTAAAGCCTACCTTCACCTTTATGCTTCACTCACCCCATGCAATAGTGCCGTGGCATTCGTGATGAGTTTGTTATAGGAAAATTCTAGTCTATCTGACATAGAGGAGACTGTTGGCCGCTATTTTATAATGTGGGTCCATATAGTTTTTGTAGGATTGGTATATGTGCCATATAATTTGTGAGAAGCAACTGGTTATTTAGTAGACTACACCCATGCTAGGATCTCTTCTGCTTAGGTATATCTTGACTACCTCAAGTAGCCTATTCAATCGAAGTTCTGCATTTGTTTCATCCGATAAAAAATGCAGAAATTTTAAGAAGCCAAATTGGTATATCAAGGGGTAGTGTAGTCCTCTTCTCATGTATTATTCTTGAAGCTTGGATTCCTTGTGTAAATGGTTGCCTAAAGAAGTTTTATATGCACTGCACCGATGAACACTTACCTTGCATGTGTTGTGAACATCTGGGAATTTTATTTGCTTACAGGACTTCCGCTTAGATGATTCGGATAACATACATATGTATTAAACGAAAATTGTCTAATTTAACCTGTGATTTTCCTGCTTATAGTTCTTAACAGTGGTTTATTACCAGACAATCGCAATTCTCAGGATTGTATTGTTTTTCAAGCAATGGTGTTATAACTCTAAATAACGTGCTTTCAGATAGTTGGCTATCTTTCTGGTTCATCACCTCAAATTACAAGTGGAGCTGTTTCTGCATTGTCCGTACTAGTTTACAAGGATACAGATATCTGTCTATCAATTCCTGATCTTATTCCTCCAGTTCTTTCTCTGCTGCAAAGCAAAGCTGTGGAAGTGATAAAAGTGAGTATACCATTACCGAAATAGATTCTTGCCCCAATTGGCATGGCTTAAGAGTTACTTCGTACGTATTTTGCAGGCTGTTCTAGGTTTTGTGAAAGTATTAGTGTCTTGCTTACGAAATGAAGACCTTCAGAGTTTACTTTCGGACGTTGTTGATGGTGTTATTTCATGGTCATCTGTCTCCAGAAATCACTTCAGATCAAAGGCATGTGAAATTTTACGGGGAGTTTACTGAGATGTTTTGTGATAATATTATGCATGCATCCTTCCAAGGGCCTCTTTTTTGCAATCTCGTAATGAATATCCATTATCACTGTATATGCAGGTCACAGTCATTCTTGAGATAATGATTAGGAAGTGTGGTTTTTCTGCTGTTCAGCTTGTTACCCCAGAAAAGTACAAGGGTTTTCTTAAGACAGTTCTGGAGGTAATGATTTTCCCTTTTCTCTGTAGGACATTAGAATCCAATGCTTGGATGTGTTTTCTACAGAAAGATTATCTAGCAGCACATTATTTTTGTGGAGGTTGGAATATTGTTTTGTGAAATGATCATGTTTTACCTTTCAGAATCGACGAAACAAAACCTCAAATGAAGGCAGTATAGCAAACAAGGAAGCTTCTGCAAGTCAGAAAGATGTCAGGGGACGAGGATATAAAAGGAGATTGAAGAACAAAGACGGCTCCCCCTCCTCAGGAGAATTTGAAACTTCTCTTAGTGTTGATGGCAGATTAGAAGGTTCTAAAAAGGATAGAGGTTTGGCTGCACAGAAATTTTCTAAGATTCAATCCAATGAATCTGGAAAGAAAAGGAAGAGGACCTTTCCCCAAATTAGAAGCGGGGAAAAGAGAAAGATGGATACAAAAAGTAGCATGAACGTGGAAACCACGGTAAGAAATCATAAAGCATCCAGAGCATGCAATGGCAATAATGCTGGGCGGAAAAAACAGAAGAAATAAGTTGGAAGGACGAGAATACTGGTTTTTTCTTCAGAGCGTCTTAAATTTATGATGATTTTGTTTCTCCTGGGCACGCCAAATGTTGTCCATTCGGGGAAAAGAGTACACTTTCTTGGCTTTCGCATATTTCCCCTATTCGGTTTTGGGGGAAAACAAAGATCTGAATATTCCACCTAGGTCTGCTTCACAGCCAAGGATTGTATTTGGAGGTCATGGGTTTGATAAGCTTGTTGTCCTAATTTACGGTGCATCATTACAAGGGGACAGAGAGGCTGTTTCAAAGGGTGATTTGTCATGGATTACTGACAGTGTACACTTCCATCTTTTCTTGTAAATGAGAGCAAGCTATATCTGACTCTTGTACAACCCTTGAATTGCTTAATCTTTAATCTCAATTTATTTGAAAGTTGTAACTCATTGCGTCACATATGTTTTGCTTGTAATCAATGTACTTTATTATCCACTACATCAAATCGTGCAATTGCCTGCAATTGCTGGGAGTTTTTCGAGCAACATGTAAACATGCCCTACTTATATAGGAAAAGAATCCGCATGAACAGGTGCTGGTCAAATAGGGAATAACAGGAAATGAGGTTCTTGTTGGTCCTTAATATCGATTACCATACGCATGCATGAGCACTAATACGGTCGTCGTCGTAAGTGTTATTCGGGAAGGTGTCTTGACAGATGATTCTTGTACCAAATAGCAGCTAGTATCCATGATGTTTCCAGAACAAACCTACTTTATCAGCACCTAATGCACCAAGTTTATGTAAATGATGCCTATGATCCTATTTGTCTCAAGTTCCTGATACAACTCACCTTTTCGGTTTAATGTTAACGACAAATTCGATTTTGGAAATTTACATATATTAGAGAGAATGTGGCAAAATTTAGACCTGATTCTCGGCCTGAGGTCCACCCTTTCCTCTTTGTTATTAATGTAGATTATAAACCTCTTACAGAACATAAAGTTTAGACATATCGCCCGTTTAACCGAGGCGCTATTCTCTTTTTGTACCTAAGAATCAAGAAGAGTAGTAGTTTGTAGACAAACAGTTGAAAGAGAAGCACAGCTACATCCCACCACTTGGAATGATCTATTGATATGCCGAAAGTGGTTTTGAGGATCATCTCGCCTTTCAGTTTTGGTTCTCCTGGCTCTGTCGAATCGAACTCAAGACCAGTCATGACATTCTTGTATTGACCCTGCAAGGCATGTAAATGATTTGATTGAGTGAATTGTAATTCATTATTTATTCTTGAGCACTTCTGATCACTGATCCAAAACATATGTTTGGGTTGACTGCCATGGCCAGTTGCAGAACAATTATGTGAATGATGCATGAACTGTTAAAGCGCGAAGCCAGCTGATGACCAGGGAATTTGGGGGTGGATCAAGGGTCTCTTCTTATGAATAATGATGTTCCTCAAGCTTCGATGGCAATGAAGCCTCTTAACAGCTTGGGCCATAGGCAAATGTTAACCACAGGGATATAGAAGCTTCTGAGAAGCCCTGTTTATCTGAAGCTTTTGTTTGAGTAAAGAGGAGTGAAGCATGCGGTAAATCCTGGTGGTTCTGATCAGTCTATGTAAAGAGACTGATAACAGAATCTAAGTAGAATTACATTATTACATTGGTTAACACAATCGCTAGCATATGGAATGGAAGGCCAACAACCCAAAAAGGAAGAAGGGAATGGCGAACCTGTCAACCATTCAACCCATTTCTTCACAGCAAAATGAAAGGCATCTTACTTCTGTTGATTTGAGACATCTTTCTCATGAATGTACCATTGTGGAAGATGAGAATTTTAACTTCAATGAATTTGAATATGCACCGCCAAGCGAGCTTTCTCCTGGTGGAGTTAAGCTACTCGGACAGAATTTAGAAACTGAAGACGAATATTTTCCATGTCACGGCTCTACGCAAATTATATGCTGATAAATTTTCAATCTTGATTGCAGAAAAATAGTGAATTGCTATATACTAATTACCTCAACTGCCCATTTGGCAAAACTGATGTAGGACATGGGGTACTGCCAAAAGAACTTGGGAAGATCAGGGAGAAGTCTAAAAATCTGTGATGCCATCATCATTAGAACCTGGATCCACAAAAATTAGCTATGAATGGCATCATACTTCATAAGAATTACTGGAAGGAAAGTTGAGGAGAGAATATTTGCTTACGATGACACCAGCTCCAGTTCCTATGGCCATCAAGGCATTGGGGACAAATGAGGTCACGACCATCATGCAACTCTCAATAACAGTGATGCAGCAGAAGAGATTAATGCAGAAATAACCGTAGTGAGAGAACCCTGGATGAAGCTTCACCATGTAGAATATTGTCGTTCCTGAAAGCAGAGAAATCGCCACCAAGAAAGGGAGCGAAGAAAGGAAATTGGCAAGCACAAACACTGTCTCGCCATAATGCCCATTGAGTCTCTCGGTGTAAAATACCTGATTTAGACAAGAAAAGGATGTCATACACTGACGATATCTCCTTTGTTACATAATAAATGTATATGCTTGCTTTGACGACAAGATCAATCCCATGTGAATAATCTTAAGCAGTCCTAACAAAAATTCTTAGTTGATTTAGCTATAATCTTTCTAAATGATTGTGAAATACTCACATTTCGCTGTAACTATGAATCGGAGTAGGCCATCCACTATAAGTTCATTAGTTAGATTTATGTTATTAACAGCGTGATAGACTACGACATGCAACTTCACACCTATCATGGTGGAGCTGGTCTGTCCTGCATAGGAAAGTTAGTTCTAGTCCTAGCGACAAATCATTTTAATATCACCTCTGCAGACATATAATAGAGGAAAATTAATCAGCCTTGACACTTTGCTATACCTTCAGTTCTTCATCGAAGAAAGGGACACCACCACAAGACAAGCATATCATGAAGCCGTAGATGAATGAAACACACTTTCCTCTGTTGATAATCGCCCCATTGTCGTAGCCGATGTCAAAATATAGAGTTCCAATACTTATTGATGCTAAAACGTAGAACATGATCCTCAACCAGGAGTATCCAATGTCCCTATACATGTTGATGAACGACCGATGAGACAATATTCTGAGCTGCTTCCACTTGCTGGAATTAGGATTCAAGCTCAACTGGCAGACCTGATAGTCCTTCAGTTTTCAACAGAAGAAATTCAGGTTTGAAAACATCGGTCCTGGAAAATGCTACTTCAATATAAATAGAAGTCCATTTTAAAAAATCACAGTTGGAGACATTGTTCATTAACTACGGAAAGTGGGAAAGACAAGAAAAATGACTGAATAAGAATGATCTGGATTTTGACATCTTCTGAGTTGGAGTGCTTACAGTGGCTGCAATTTCTTGCATTTTCTTCCTAACTTTGCATGAATACTCTGAGGATTTGTAACTTTGGATGAGTGTGGCTTTAATCTCTGCTGTTTTCCTGTTCATTGAAAAAACAGACGATGCCAGAGTTTGCTGCAAGATAAAATAGCAAGTCCGAGCAATATTCAGAAGTCAATCACAAGAACTAATGCAGAGTTTAGAAGTGATCAAGCTAAAACTCACACAGCTTCTATGAGAAAGCAATAGAGTGGCAGTCACAGAATCGAAGTCCAAGCTAATACACCGCAGAAAGTGATCGGCGGGATTTCTCCTCCTTGGACAAGGAAATCCAGCATCTGCAAAGAACTGCACCAGGAATTAAAATTACATGATCTTGCTTCTGCACAGCCAAAATGTCTCTGAGTTAGAATGAAGTGTTGACTTTTCATTACCTCAATGGCCATTTTGGCTTCTCCTAGAAACACAGTTTCTCCGCTCGACAGAAGGAGTAAATCATCAAAAAGATCGAAAACTTCACTGCTCGGCTGGTGGATTGAGCAAATAACTATTCTTCCTTCATCTGCAATATTTCTTAGAGCTCTTGCCACAAAAAAAGCCGAGGCACTGTCTAAGGCTGTGGTAGGCTCATCAAGGAGCAAGATCAGTGGGTCTGTCATCATTTCAAGGCTGATGCTGAGTCTCTTCTTTTCTCCACTGCTTATGCCCCTCAAGTGCCAGTTACCAATCTTGTTCTCCGCACAGTCTCCAAGTCCCATCTCCTTTATGATCGTCTCTACCACCTCGTCGATCTCAGCTTTCGTCATTTCGGAAGAAAGCCTCAGATGAGCTGTGTAAGCTATTGTCTCTTTGACAGTGAGAGTACCCAAGAAAATATTTTCTTGAGTCACGTAGGACTGAAAAAATGCACAAAATGAGAAGATTCAAGCATGAGACAAAGGGTGAAACATCAATCACCGGATAGATTTGCAAGCTCAAACTTCAGAAAGGAGAAACATGGCCAAACCAGCCAGACTTTGATTTTAAGAATGTCGTCCAGTCATACACATAAACCGCCACATTGAATCAGAAGAAGTACAAAATATGATTTATTCTTTTGAGGGCCAAAAGAATGCTTCACGAGACAAAATTGACAGAAGAGTGGCCTAGTGATGCGCTTCATTTCAGAGGTCACTAGTCACAGCATCAGTATGCGAAACCGAAACTATTGCCAGAAAGCGCCGATTAAGCCGATGGAAGCAAATCTTGTTATTCCAATGATGATCTAACAAATTACTAGACTAGAGTTTTCTTTTAATTACTAGAAAAATTGGGATCTTTTGTGATTTTTAACGGTATTAATCCTAAAATCAAAGAGAATTATCTTCCGCGAGAGTTAAATTACTTGTCTCATAATCTGTTTTCCTCTCTTATATGAAGTCTGCCCACAGCATATAATTTCCAACAAAAGCTAACTTGAGACCTACTGACTTGACGTGCTTTACCAGATCTCTGTGGTTTATGGCCCCCTTCTTTTTCCCACTTAGGGAAATATTCCCCCCTTTTCTGACGCCAGAAGATGTCCGACCTGCGGAAAAATAAAACACAATAAGTAGTCGAATTGAAGTGGGGGTGCTAAGTGGTTGAGATACGTATTTCTCGGCGTATACGTACTTACGCAGTACATGTAACTATGTAACCTAGATTATGGAATGCGTAAGTTATAAATATCTCTCTCCATCTACACTATTCTCATCCCATGTCGGCTGTGAAGCGACCAAATAGTCCCTTCCAGTCGAAGTTCGTGTGTCTAACGTAATGTCAAGCCACTCGATGAAGCGGACGGGTCGAAGCTCAACTTCCGATTGGACCCCGGAAAGTCCCCGGGCCATGATCCCGCAGAGATGCGGTCTCGGAAACGAGGGAGACTTCGAGTGTGAGAGTTCCATCGCCCGATTAGCGATGAGGCAGAGACGCGTGCGGAGCCTCCGGGGACTCTTGCCCGGAAGTCGCATTGGCCGCCAGTTCTCACGGTCTTTCGCCTGGTCCTTTTTAACTTGTGATTTCACTAGAACATGTATATCTA